CATATCTGCCTCCTAAGGGTAAATATAAATTCTTGGAAGTAATATAGACTAAATATATAAAAAAGAGAAACCTTCCCAATGACTCATAATTTTAAGATTTACTCTGCCCACAATAAAACTGGGCAACGGACCCCACCCACTTGGGATTTTTTTTTTCTCTTTCCTTTGTGAAGCCTTTACTTGTTACTGGCAGCTTCCTTTGAGACACAATCTTCTTTCTCCAAGTCTTTAACCTGGCATTTATAAAAATGTTGAGCAAGTTATATAGGATGATGGTTAAGGGTCTAGATGCTTGAAATGAATGTCTAAAGGAAACCTAAGAGATGCTCAGGTATTCACATGTGAACAACATTTCTTTTCACTACTGCTTCTGAAAAAGATACCATCTCCACTCACCAAATAATTCCTCATTTTTCCAATGACCAACAACTGACATGTACCTGGATCTATTTCTGAACTCTTTATCCCATCCCACTGGTGAACTGATCTACCTTTGTGCTAGGGCAACACTGTTAGTCACTAGAGCACAGTCTCAGTTTCTACTCAGGTATTTTCTCTCATTTTTCTTTATTTTTGAAATGCTGAGTAAGAATCTTGATGGATTAGTTATTTTTCTTGCTGTTTCAGACACCTAACTGTAGTTAGTTGTTTTTCCACTAACTGTAACAAAATACTCAACAAAAGTTACTTACAGAAAAAGTAAGCATTCGATTGGCTTATGGTTTAAAGGGACACATTCTGTCATGATGGGAAAGTCATGGCAGCAGATGGTCCCAGGGTTCAGAAAGCGGTGATTTCTGGCATACAGTTGGTTCTCCCTTGTCTCTACTTTTTATTTCAGTCAGAGAGCTCAATTCATGGGATTGTTTTGCCCACAGTCAGGGTAGATCTTTCTCCCGAGATAAACCTCTCTAGAAATACCTCTCTAGACATATCAACTAATATGTCTCCTAGGTGATTCTAAACATAGTCAAGTTGAAAATAAAAATTCAGCACCCAAAGATATCACTTTAAATGATAGTATTCCACACCTGGTCCTTAAAACCTCATATCCACTCATCTTATATAACAGTACACATTTACCTCATCTCTAAAAACACTTCCATACTTAATAGTTCTAATACTGTTAAAAAGCACAGAACCAAAAGTTTCTCTTCTGAGCTTCAAAACAGTCTCTTAGCCATGAGCCCTAGTAAAATAAAATTGATTAGTTATATCCTATTAATGTGCAATAAGTAGCACAAACTAAATGCTCTAGTCCCAAAAGAGAGGAATGTGGAAATAGCAAGGAAATTAACAATTCTTTACCTGTTTTTTTGTTTGTTTGTTTGTTTTTTGAGACAGGGTTTCTCTTATAGCCCGGGCTGTCCTGGAACTCACTCTGTAGACCAGGCTGGCCTCGAACTCAGAAATCCGCCTGCCTCTGTCTCCCAAGTGCTGGGATTAAAGAAGTTTACCTGTTGATGCAGTGGCTGAAAGAACCCTCAGTGGCTACCTAGCAGTCTCAGCTTTTAGTTCATTGGAACCATTGTTGTGCCCCCACTCTCTGGCAGTAGGAGTTATTACCTCAGGACCAAGACTTCTATATCAGTAGAATCCAAAGTTGTAGTGATAGAACTCAGATGTTTTTCTAGAGGATCACTAGGGTTAATAGTGAGAAGAGCCATTGTATTCTTACCTCCTGATTTCCACTCCCATGCATTGTGGTGATGGGAAAAAAAATCCATATCATCATATCCTGGCTACTGACTTAGGTTACATTCTACATCCTAGACGATGTTCCCCTTACTTTGAAAGTTGTTGTCCTCTAGCTGACACCATAAGGGAGTCTTTGAAAGTCCATTTCACTGTACTGGCAAGCTGGCTACTTCTAGGTGATGGAGAATAAGGGAAGACAAGTGAATCTCATGAGCACAGGCCTTTATATACTTCACTTGTGACCGAATAACTCCTTCGGAATAAATAGTGCAGATATATCATGCTAATGGTATCCACAAATGGTAGTTTTAGTGAAAGAATTGCAGGCAGGAGAAGAAGGTCATAGCCAGAGCAACTGTCTCCTTCAATAAAGCAAAGCACTACTCTTGGTATGATTGGAGGAGTGAACACACTAAATCAATCTGCTACTAGGGGTCTGTCTGGTGCTCTGGGGAACTATATCATACAGGGCCATACCATTAAACTCTTAGCATTGCTAGCTATAGCCAGATTGATGTTAGAGTGTGGAAAGCCATAATAGTTGGTCCATACCTAGCCCCCACCCTGCCATCACTGTTCATGAACCTATCGGGCAATGATGAGAGTGCCCAAACAATTGGTTTGGAACACTGGAAAACTGGTGTTTCTAGAAAAGCAATCTGTATGGTGGAAATTCCTTTAAAATACATTTCAAGTAAAATTATTTTACAATATATTTTGTTGGTGTTTTTCCCCTCTACCAACTCCTCCCAGATCCTCCTCACTTTCCCTACCCACACAACTTTATGTTCTCTCTCTCTCTCTCTTACAAAATAAACACAAATAAAAACAAAGAATAAACACAATCCCTCTCTACAAAAACGAAACAAACAGAAAAGATCAACCAACCAAAAAAAAAAAAACAACAAAAACAAAACAAAACAAACAAACAACAACAACAAAACCAATCTAAAGACTAATTGGTGGAGAGAGAGGAGCCAAAACAAGCAAAACAAAGCAAAATGAAACAAAGGGCCTGAAATACCACTGAGCTCATTTTGTGTTGGCCAATTACTCCTGGGCTTGGGCCTGCCCTGCATTGGGATACTGTGATTGATACCCCCGATGCCAAAGGAGAAAACTGATGTTCATTTTGCCAGTGGCTATCAATTGTAGATAGCTTCTTGGTTAGGGATGTGGTCCTGTGTCCATTTACCTGCCGGTTAGTGGACCTGTCTGGTGTGAAACTGTGCAGGTCTTGTACAAACTCCCCCAATCTTTATGAGCTCATGTGTGCATCAGTCCTGTTGGAAGACATTTCCTTAGAGTCATCCAATGCCTGTCGCTTTTACAGTCTTTCTGCTGCCTCTTCTGCATAGATCCCTGAGCCTTCAGGAAAATGATTTGATGAAGACATCCATTTAGGACCAAGTGCTCCAAGTCTCTCACTCTCTGTGTATTGTGCAGTTGTGGGTCTCTGTGTTGATTTCCATCAACTACAAGAAGAAGCTTCTCTGATGTGGGTTATAAGACATTGATCTATATATGTATAGATGTATCAGTTTGTCATTAGGAGTCATTTTACTATTATATTCCTTTAGCAGAGTAATAGCATTAGGTTTGGAAATTCTTTGTTTGTTTGCTTGCTTGTTTTTCAAGACAGGGTTTCTCTGTGTATCCCTGGCTGTCATGAAATCTATGCTGTGCACGAGGCTGGCCTTGAACTCACAAGACAACTGCCTGATTCAGCCTACTTAGTGATGAGATTAAAGGCATGCACCTCTACTGCTTGGCAAAATTCTCTTTAAAAAGAAATTGAATAAGACAGTGGTTCAGGAAGTGTAAAAAAGAGAAGAAATATTGGAAATTTCAAGAAATATTAGGTTAAGAATCTTAGGAACACCACAGAATACCAAGAGGCCATGAAAGGAAAGAAATGATCATGTTCTTGAAAGGAACATATGAGTTACTTTTACCCCTCAATCTCCTCTCTCTTCCTTTAAAAAACTTCCAACATACTAAAAACACATGGCATATTGGTGAGGCATATAAGACTCCCCTCAGGGTTAAAGGACTACAGCTGTGTATAAACCATTCTTGCTTTCTGCTACAAATCTATGCTATTTTGCTACAACTGTGATGTTGTTATTTTCTTCTCTCCTAAGTATGAAAAAAGAACTCTGAATTTCTACTTGGAAGCTATGTATTTCAGGTCATAGCTGATAATTCTGCTGACAGAAAAAAAAAAACCAAGAAGGCATAAGTAATAAGTTGGTGACCATGCTTTATATGATCAGGTCAATATCACCCAATGGGATTGTTGGGTGCTTGTTACTATTTCATTTTTTAATTAATATTTTTAGTGTCTGTTGCTGATTTTGTGCTTTTCTTGTTAGTGGTTTAAAGTCAATTAATCAAAGTAATTGGGTTTACACCTCTTCAATAGAAGTTTTGATGACCCATGTTAATTGGTCATTCTTTTTTGCTTCTATCTTGACATTTTTAAAGGTTATGGAAGAAAAGGCATTGGCCGAAGAAACTCAGAGTTATTAGATTCTAGTCCTTGCCTTGTTTCTGAGGATATGGGATACTTCATTTAGTCTTTTAATGTCTATATTTTCCAGTTTACCCATCTGACTAATAAGAGGTTAGGCAGAGACCTACACTGAAGAAATACTAAAGGACATTCTTCAAGATAAAATGAAAGTAATTCCAGATGGAAAGATGAAATAAAGAATATGAAAGCAAACAAAAAAGTAAAATAGCATATGCTGATATAACAGTGATGATATAAAATAGCTATCAGATATAGATGCACGCAGCAACAGCATTCTAAATGTGATGTGATAGAGGAAACAAAACTGCTCTTAAGTTCTTGCACTGACCAGGAAAAAGATGCTGCAATTTGCCAAGAAGCTCCTGAAAAATGGATTAGATGTCATGTAACTTGTAAGATTGTGTGTTTGGGGTAAGCATATGGTAAAACAAAACACCACTAAAATGAATTTGAAAGAAAGCAAGAATGGAGAAAAGAAGAAAAATGATCATTAATACAACAACATATATTTAAAAGCACACACCAGAGTTACATTAACTATAAATGCTCTAATGAAAAAGCAAAGACTTCCAGACTGAATAAAATGCACAGCTCTCCAAGTTTAAAAGAGGAACTTCTATAACATTTAGAACATATAAGCTGCAAATAAGATAAAGACTATTTTCCAGGAATATTTTATAGTTATACATTTGTTCACATTTTATGATGTACTTTGATTTATGGAAAGTAAACACTGATAGAATTATAAAGAAATAGTAAACTCACATGCATTGTGGGAAAATTTTATTCACATCTCTCAATAACGTGATCAAAATCTTCACCACACACTTGATACACTACAAACTTGACTCTAAAAATTGGCTTCTGTGTCGCATTTAGAGTATTTCAGAATTTACCTCCTTTCAAAATGTATGTGGTATTTTAAAAAACAAAACAGATCATAGGCCATATAACATATCTCAAAAATTTCCAAGAGTGATTACATGCAGAACACACTACAGTGAGAAATCAGTTGAGTTTCTAACATAAGACCTTGCTACAGAGGAAGTACAGGTGACCACGTAGTAAATTATACATGACATTTAAGGAATAAATACTGGGAAGGTTTTGTGTTGACCATAGTTTCCTTGGCTTGTAGAATACACGTTTCTACAGTGCAAAAGGCCATCTGGGAACCCTAAAGCTTTCCCTCCACACACATTTTTTCTTTACTCAGCCTACATAAAACAATGAAAGGCATTAATATCTCTCTTAAAAATCCAAAGGACTCTCTGTGTGTGTGTGTGTGTGTATAGGCCAATATTTTTTCCATTGTTCATCACTTTAATTTTTCTCAAAGATTTGCTTATTTTTATGTGCATGTACAAGTACTTGCATATATACGTATCACAAGCCTGCAGTGCCCCTGGAGGCCAGAAGAGGGCATTGGATCTCTGGAACTGGAGTCACAGATTTGAGTCTGTCGATGAACTTGGACTTCACCAATTCAGCTAGACTGGCTAGCCACTGAGCCCCAGGATTTGTTTTGGGTCTACTTCTTCATCTCAAGGATTACAATGTGCCCTGGAATCAGGTTTATTCTTATTTATTTATTTATTATGCCCTTTGTTATAACTTAGGCTGTTATAACTTAGGGTTGGACCATCTGGGTACTTTGCAGAACATCCTGGTGATCCATTGCTGATACCCCTAAGCTGATGCAGCTGGATGTGCCAGAGATGCTCCCCTCAGAAGATAACAGTATGCTGGTGGCACTGGGAAGACACATTTGGTTAAGATAACGGGATAAACTCAAAGATCTGCCATTTCTGACACTGCCTGCTGGCTGCTTTATAGTTATTCTCAATGAGGTCTTGAAAGAGTGGCTATGGAAAAGTTTCCTGGAGGCAGAGCTCTGAGTGGTGTGTGTGGGCATCTGCCTTGCATGGAAGAAATGATAGGAGTGCATAAGTGGTCTAGTTAGTTGTCCAGGAACACGAAAGTACTAGAACAAAAGAGATATGGGTCACAGGCATGGAAAGGGCTATATTGCATGAATACTCCATGCTACGATTTTTTTGTTTCACCTTTTACTGCCTACCAGAAGCATCCACTACAGACATCACACTGGCCATTCAAGCAGGCAAATGATGATGGTGTCATGAGCAGCAGGCATGTGGAGGTGGAGATGAAGGCAACAAGTGGGCCAGCAGCCTAGGCTCCTCCTTGTTAAGACCAATTTGCCAATGCCCTTATTAATACCCAGGCTGATTGAAGCAGAATACAACGTTGAGCCCCTGATAATTATACTACTCTTTGAAGAGGCAACCAGCAACTTGTGGAAAGCTTACTACAGAGGCCGCCCTTTTTTTTCCACTAGGACCAGTGGTTTGTTCCATTAGGAATTAACACTTTATGGTTCTTTAGTTTGCCTTGTCTTTTGTTGTTTTTTTGTTTGTTTTTGTTTTAAACAGACTCTCAGTACCACAATTCAAGGTCTTCCACATGTGCTACCCACAGATAAGGGGTCCCCTAAAATACTATTATCCAAAGAACAGGCTCATACTCCCAAGAAGACATCTCACTCAGTTAGCAGTAAACAGGCATAGAAAAGTTACTGTTTCTTCTTCATGGAATAGGAACAAACCAGCAAGTTTAACAACTAGTAGGAAGGCGATGGAGAGATACAGGTCAGACAGAGCTAATTTAGGATATGTGGGATGCAGGTGATAATGAACTCGGGGAAGATAAGATGTTCAGAGGAGGGACCATTCTTACCTGGTAGGTAAGCAACTTGGTCAAGATGACATGGCCTGTGAGTAGCCAGAACCAAAGTTCCCAACTCTGAATGCTGGGATTTGGCTGCTTCTGTCATTCTAGAAGCATCCTCATGCAAGTGTGTCTGTGTATATGTGTCCCCTTTCAGTTCCCACAGGATGGTAAGTAACCAGGCTTCTTACCAACCGCTGTTCTTCGCCATTTTCCTCTCTGCTCTGTGATTTCCTTTCAGAATGACTTAGATTTCTCCACCATAACCTACAATGCTCTCTGCATTTTATAGTCTTCACTTTTGTTTATATCATCTTTTATTTTATTACAATTTATAAATAATAGTTTATATATTGACTGTTTAGAGTATTTCTCATGATTAAAAATACTTTAGCATGCTAACTCTCTGAAGTGAAAGAACAGTCTTCACTTGTTTCTCTAATTTCAAACATTGCATCACGAGAAGCAAGGTGCCCCGCTTCTTCGTTGCAATAGAAAACTCTACTTAGAAGAATAAATAACTTCAGAATTGCAGGCAATGAATTACCAGGCAAGAGGCTCCATTACTAATGTTGACATAGTTTACCACTTTGATTATTGGTATTATTAGTCCATCTTTTAATGTACAAGTTAGGCAGATTGACGATTGTAATTTACAGGATGTCTAAGAGGTGAGAGGCATCCCCTTGCTCTCTGTATCCCTGGATCTTTATCCTCTGTTTAACACTTGGCTCTCATGTCTTGAGTCTTTTGCCGAGCAGGGCATGTTGGTCTGAGCATACACCATTTCTCTTTCCGCTGTGGATTTCTCTGGCTTTGGTGGTACTGAGGTTGGGCAATTCCACATGTACTTCCTTAGGCATCTGCAAAGACAGGGCCACAAAACTTCCGTGGATATCCACCTCTTCAAACACCCAACCTCTTTAGATACCAGACATTTGAAAGGTGATGTCAACAGCAATTCTGAGACTCTAGGACAAACTTTAATACCTGCGCAGTGACTCGACTAGCCTCCGGGTATGAGGCCTCACCAACCCTTGGTTTTGCAAGATCCTGGTCAGTGCTATGCAAAGCCATTTTGTAGCTGGGATTCTGACCTAGATTTGATAAACTCTTCCTACCCTTTTGATAATAGTGGGTCCCTATGACTGCTTTGTGTTGTGTGAAGAGACAGAGGGTGTCTTGTTAGAAATCATTTGCTCCCATTCAAACACCCCCCACTTTTTTTTTTTTTTAAACCACGAAAAAGACTTTGCTGACTGTGCTGGGTGCACAGGCAGGCTCTGGGCACTGAATGTTCCCTTGCCATCAAAGCTATAAACAAATAACAAATTATGCAGCAAAGCCTCGCAAGGGTTTGCTTTTCTGCTTCCAGGCCTGGGTACTCTTTCTCACACACAGGCAGGTCAAGAAGAGAAAGGAAAAGCCCTCTGCTGGAAGCGCATCAAGAGTGGAAACTAGGCCACTCACTGTCTGGGATCCCACAGGCTGCCCTGGAAGCTTCCACGTCAGCTCACTTCAGAAGCAATTTTTGGTGTTTCAGAACCATGCATCCAAGGCTCTGGTAGATGGTGAAGGGCATTGGGAACCAGAGCTGACTGCAGGTGGCTTTCTGAGCCGATATGAGAAAGCTCTGGCCATTTGTAAGTGTCTTCCCCATATCTGAAAGCTGTCTTTATAAGGCCAGAAGAGAGAGTCCCTTTGTTTTTATTTATATTTTTATATTAGAATAAACCTGTGAGCATGGTGATTTGGTTTCATTTCTTGCAGATGATATGCCATTGGCTCTGGGAACTTAATTGTACCCTCAAAATTGCAATGATCATTGGCACAAGCTGCTTTTGTTCTAATGGTCACTGTTTATGAAAAAAGCAATCCCCAATGCTTTAAGCTCCCCTTAAACACAAAGCAGCCACCTCTGACCTTTGTTCTGCAAGCTGTGTTCTCAGAGATCACAATCCCACTCTTGGAGTCCATGACTTCTTCTAAAACTAAATCAAAGAAGATAAAGAGAAGTTAGATCAATATAATAAAGAAAATACTGTCTAGGAATATAAAGACTTAATAAGAACTAGAGAAGAGGCATGTAATGTCTGTAAAAAATATTACTATTAGAATTGCTGGCTTTCATTTTTTAAGAATTATTTTATTACTATTTATGTGTATGGGTGTTTTCTTTACACGGATGTCTGAGCACCATGTGCATGCCTATGCCCTTGGATGCTGAAGCCAGAGGATGATGGTGAATCCCTTGGAACTGGAGTTACAGATGGTTGTAAGCTACTGTGTGGATGCTGGGATTTGAACCCTGGTCCTTTGGAAGAGCAGTTGGTGCTCTTTACTGCTGAGCCATTTCTCCAGCTCCAGTTCACATTTTGATTTTTGTTTTTCACTGTTAATTTGTTCATGGCTCTGAGTCTATTTTGTCTGTGTCTGGTTCATACAGTCCAGTTCTTCAGGGGTGTTAGTGATGTCATTCAGTTTACTTTTAGTGGGATCAGCTTGGGTGACAGGAATCCACCCTTCTACCTGGTGTTGCAGGATCACAGGGCACACCAGCTTGGGAGGATATCTGACAGGTTTGGGTGTGAGTATGTTCTCTGAGTCCAAAGAGAGACCCTACTTCCAAACATTAATGATCTCTGATGTCTTCATTTGTGGCTTCTTGTCATATCTTAACAACAGTTGACAGAACCAAGCAGTGAGGTTGAATACATTTCTATAAATATGAATAAGACCAAGCTGTAATAAAAATGGGCTAATATTTCAACAGTTGCATGGTTTCAATACCATTTTACAGTGTTTATTTACTTTCCAATGCAATTTATGTTCATAACAGAAAAATAAGTTAATTCAGTTGCATAATCTGAATGAGCAGAAGATAGAATCCCTATGATGGGCCAGAGTTCTGAATGACAAATGAAAGTCCTTAAAATAAACATAAACAGATAAAAAAACTTTAATATTTGAAGCATTCTTCAACATGAAGAGGGAAAAAAAATCCAAAGTGAAATGATTCAGCAGATGGTCAAAAACTATTTATCTGTGCTTTGTATTTTTTATTAAAAAAATACTTCAGATATCTTTTGCCTTCTGAGTTTTGTTTGAGTCGGGGTCTTGCTGTGCAGCACATTGGATCTATTTATTGTTCTTATGCCTTATCACCTGAACAGTAGCCAGGCTCATGGACATGCACTGCCAGAGAAGTTGATACAATATCTGAATAGTTCAATGCTGGAACTATGCATTGTTAGCAGCGAGAGACACAGAGCAGACACACAGCTTAAAAAACCATAGTTGTTGTCTAAAGGAAAGAGAAATGGTTAGCAGAACAGGGTGAACTAGGCATGATGGAGTACACCTGTAATCTCAGCATTCACAAGGCTGGAAGAGGAAGATCAGGAATCTAAGGCTAGCCTGGGCTACACAGCAAGACCTTGTCTAAAAAGCAAAATAAACAACAAATACTCCTCCCCAACTAACAAGCAATAACAGCAATGTGCTAATTTGCCAAAAACTTATATTTGGAGTTTCATGACTAGAAATAAAAAAAATTTTGAGAGTCCATGCCTTTTATTTTTGCAGCTATCTGATTCTAGTTTGAAGGGAAAGTTATCCATTTTTTCCCTTGCTCCATGTCCCTTGTGAATAGAAGGCCAGAAAGAGTGCATTGAAGAGCTTTTGAGAAAAGAGAGAGATCATGGACCAACCTGTTAAAATGCCATCAAGGTGCTCCACCATGAACTTTGCATCTTCTTCTGTGAAGCACATGGGTGGTTTTATTTTCAGCACATTCCTGTGAGGGCCATCGGCACTGAGAAGTATTCCTTTTCCTTTCATCCTAAAATGTGCAGGAAATGAAGGGTCATGGGCACGTGCAGTGGGAGATGAAGGGTCATGAGCACGTGCAGTGGGAGATGAAGGGTCATGAGCCCATGCAGTGGGGGATGAAGGGTCATGAGCCCGTGCAGTGGGGGATGAAG